TCCACCAGGCTACCCTCCCAGTAGCGCTGGCAACAGGGCAGAGTGCCGCTGGTCTCTGCCCACGCAGCAACCCACCAAGTCAGCGTACCCGTACCCAGCACAGCCGTGGTGAGGCACCTGGACATGGACAAGCTTCTTCTCTACCCAGGTGTAGTAACCATTTATTGTGGGTGGGCTGTGCTGTCGATTATTTGTTGTGGGTGGGCTGCTGGACTAACAAGGGCACTGACCGGCAGGAGGTCAGATACCCTGTTAGTCTGTTTGGAAAAGGGGAGAGATGTGACGAGACCAATCTCGCCACATTGCATTGGAGAAGCCTGGTTGCTCGCCTGCTGCCTTTGGACTATGGCCCCCTTTGTAAAAGACTTTATTTTTGCATGCAGAAAAGCTGTATTCGTGCTTTTCTGCCGGTTGTTCGGTAGTTTCAATCTACCGAACAACCGTACGAATGACTGGACCATCTGGGAGCTGGAGTGTGCCGGCAATTAACCTCCCTGAAGCTGCGGTTAACCGCAGCTTGATTGATGAACGCTGGGTGGCCGCCGTTCGTATCCCGAACACGAGGTCGCGGCCATTTTAAACCATACGAATGAACAGCGGTGTTCGCCTCTATTTTCATGGAACTAAAATCGGACACAGTTTTGCGCGAACACCGCTGAAGCCGCCGACCCCCCTCCTTGTTCGGTGAAAGCACACGAATGACCCGGTGTTCGGTATTTTTGTGTGAATTTCTTATACCCCAGATAGGAATCCCATGGAGCCCATTCGTATGAAACTGACTGTAAAGACTTTGGCTCCATGGCGATTGAACTGTATTCGTGTAGGCTGAGTGCCATTCACTTAATAATGTGCACTCAGACCTGAGCTATCTGGGGATGTGTTACATGTCGGTGTTTTATGTAGTAAATGTTACTTTGTGCATTTTAAAGTATAATGCTGTTTTTGTGTTCCCACGTGTGTAATGGAGTTTTGCCTTTGTCTTGGGAGATAATTGAGTTACTTCCCAATTATCTCCCAGGGCAGAGGGGAGGAAGCCAGGATGCATTGTGGGAATATACTGTGACTGTGTGTCCTTTTTGTATACTTGTCTGTCCCTTGTCACAGTCTCCCATTTGGTCCCCTAGGGGAGTGTCCACCAGGTGGGAGACCTGCATAAAAGCTGGGCAGGTAGCCCTCATTAAACAGACCACTGCTTGACCCTCAACACGGAGCCTTGTCTCGTCTTTGGGGGGATTTACTGTATGCTGCTAAGGACTGATTGCCAGGAGTGTAAGCCGCTTGGAAGCTTTTCCTGTTCGCCTGCTAGCAGCTATTCGTATGGTTCCTGTTCGTTTATTTGAAGTGCTACCTTATTCCCTTGTATGCCGTTCGGGAGTTTGGAGCATTCACTTATTGGTGGTTCGTGGGTTTTGGTGATTCTACAGTAGCTGTGCCTGTCTCTGAAAAGGGGGATTATCGTCTAAGTGGTTTTTTCCCCTTTTATGCTAAACGGTCCGTTACACTCAGTATCATTATACAGAGCGCTATGTTCATTATCAGTGTATAGTTACTCAATATCAGTATACAGAGCGCTGTGTTCATTATCAGTGTATAGATACTCAGTATCATTATACAGAGCGCTGTGTTCATTATCAGTGTATATCGATTCTCATTATCATTATATAGAGCGCTGTGTTCATTATCAGTGTATAGATACTCATTATCATTATATAGAGCGCTGTGTTCATTATCAGTGTATAGATACTCAGTTTTATTATACAGAGCGATGTGTTCATTTTCAGTGTATTGATACTCAGTATTATTATACAGAGTGCTGTGTTCATTATCAGTGTATAGATACTCAGTATCATTATACAGAGCGCTGTGTTCATTATCAGTGTATAGATACTCAGTATCATTATATAGAGTGCTGTGTTCTTTATCAGTGTATAGATACTCATTATCATTATATAGAGCGCTGTGTTCATTATCAGTGTATAGATACTCAGTTTTATTATACAGAGCGATGTGTTCATTATCAGTGTATAGATACTCAGTATTATTATACAGAGCGCTGTGTTCATTATCAGTGTATAGATACTCAGTATCATTATACAGAGCGCTGTGTTCATTATCAGTGTATAGATACTCATTATCATGATATAGAGCGCTGTGTTCATTATCAGTGTATAGATACTCAGTATTATTATACAGAGCGCTGTGTTCATTATCAGTGTGTAGATACTCAGTATTATTATACAGAGCGCTGTGTTCATTATCAGTGTATAGATACTCAGAATCATTATACAGAGTGCTATGTTCATTATCAGTGTATAGTTACTCAATATCAGTATACAGAGCGCTGTGTTCATTATCAGTGTATAGATACTCTGTATCATTATATAGAGCGCTGTATTCATTATCAGTGTATAGATACTCAGTTTTATTATACAGAGCGATGTGTTCATTATCAGTGTATAGTTACTCAGTATCCTTATACAGAGCGCTGTGTTCATTATCAGTGTATAGATACTCAGTATCATTATATAGAATGCTGTGTTCATTATCAGTGTATAGATACTCAGTTTTATTATTCAGAGCCCTGTGTTCATTATCAGTGTATAGATACTCAGTATCATTATACAGAGCGCTGTGTTCATTATCAGTGTATAGATACTCATTATCATTATATAGAGTGCTGTGTTCATTATCAGTGTAAAGATTATATGTAATTTAGTTAAGAAGAAACATGGTTTCATTTCAAATCAAATATTTTTATTTTAAACATAATTTAATATGAATAAAATCTGTATATAGCACAAACAGGATATCAGTGTGATTTAGTAGAATGCCAAAACAGTCTG